ATTCGGTTGACCTCGTCCTCGCTTTCTGCCTATCCTGGCCACCATGTATTTCACGCATGCGTTTTGTTGTTAGTGTAGCTGAGGAACATTGTATAATTTTTTGTATTCACCTACCGTATACTGAAAACCTTCCCGATTTAATACAGGCAATTGTCTTTCGCTTATATGGGTGGGCGTTTGCATCGGTTTAGATCGTACCGCCTACTACCCTTGGGCGTCACTATGCAGATCCCATCTTGTGCGCATCCTAACACAGAGGATCATATTTCACTTATTTGTTATTACTTTGCAAATATTGCCTACAAATGACGTCATTCTCCGGTTCTGGTTTGGATTCTTTGAAAATTCTCCGAAATGATGTATATGTTAATTAATAGATTACATTATTAAGCTCATCTTTGATGTCAGGTCAGTAATTTGTAGGAATTTACTGATTTGTTCCATTAACTGATTAAATATCATTTCAACAGTGCTCGTTTGCTTCAACTAACTAGGTGATTGGAAAGTATATCAAGTCCTTTTTTCATTTCAAGCCAAGTTAAGCAGTTAGAATGCTGGGGTAGGTTTGGCAGAACCAACCCATTATTTGGGAATCAGTTAATTAGTTGTGGAATTCAGAAGTATCCTATTGGAATTCAGAAGTATCCTATATTTCAGCCTTTGGAATTTCTCTTTGCTGTTTTGGATATGCTCCGAATGAGTTGACAATCTCAGCTGTTCCACTCGGATGATCGGGGACCAGGTCGCGGTGTCAGCTTTCCCACCGCTGTTTTCGCCCGCGTTATTTACAGCGATGAATATTACATTGAGCTCATTCACCACTTATTATATTGAATGGACACTCTTAAAAGATTTTTTTTGAGCAATGACTTTATAGGCACGTGGCAATACAGTAGGACAAAAATGCCAGAGTAAAAAGAATGTGTAGTGTCCTCTTCTCAGGTAATGAAAACCTTATAACTCTTCTGACTCCGACATGGTCTCGCTTTGTTTAACTTCACTCCGTTAGTTATGAGAGTTATTCTAACGCTGACTGCACAATCGTTTTCTGCTACCGTTTAAACTACTGACTGAATTTCATCTGGCCAAATAGAATAAGAACGTAACGTAACAAATACGGGCTCGTGTCCCCTCTGTGGCTGAGGTTTTGCCCAAAACTCGCCAATGCTATGAGACTTTTGGATCGAGTACTGCGGCGAAATAACAACAGTTACCATAACACCAAGATAAGATAACGTAACGGTGCAAATAATGATTCCCCACCGAGAATTGCCGCCTATGGATAACAAGTGGAATGCCTTTCAGTTCATGGAGCCTTCAATTTGAACTTGGAGTTTTAGGATAAGGATAAAGGACGAAGTCTTTGGACGTTGATCAATCCCGTGTGAGAAACGCGACCATGCATTCGACATCCATTCACAATTTTAGTGGCGTATTGAACAGTGTAGCCTATACAAAGACTTGCAGTGGCAGGTACATGGAAATCAGTGCTTTTATCCTCTTAGACAAGTCTGGTACAAATTAGCCGACCCCAGAGGGACAGAACGCTTGGTTGGCCTAGGACCCGTGATCATGCATGTGCGGTAATGCGCTGCTTGCCATTACACACTGTCCAAACTTAGAATTATTAAGGAGAATTAATATCTATAAACCTGTTACATAGCTATTTGGTTGATTGCTATTTATTTGCAGTCTTAGAGACTGAGTCCATTTATCTGAGAAAGTTCAAAGGAAAACCATTTTCTTACACTAAATCTTTCCGAACTGCTTACCGAGAAGTTCTGCGATCGCTCCTTGTCATTGAATGCCTGTAAGTCTCGACAGATCGTTCATACTGAGAAAACAGTGGCTTTCTTACCCGCAGACTGCTTTGCGGGAGGTCAAGATTTTGAGTCCACTAGTGAGTTCTGAAAATTCATTTGCAACAGAAAAATTCAGTTTCTGAACGGTTCTTCTACGCGTCCTTTATCACCCACTTCTTTCTTTTTCTAGCATGTTTTCCGTTGTCTTTGACTACAAAAAAGACTAAAATGAAAATCCAGTCCGGCACTCGGTTCTTACAGTAACCCCCTGGCTTACCCCACCACCCATCCCCGTGTCCTTGCCCAAAGCCCCTTTTCGACGCGTCGTATATGTGACGGGTAAAAATATGCGTATTAACACGTGCCGGATTACTGTAAGAACCGAGTGCCGAACTGAATTTTCGTTCCTGTACAAAAAAGTGTTGAAAACAAACGAATTGCAGCAAAGATCGGAGCAAAAAAGCCTTGTTCCTCGTAAAAATATCATAGTTTAGAGAGATTTCCGTTTAGGGAGAGAAAGAAGTTTTTTAGAGAATTCTCGACAACTTTCCAAAATGCACTTTTATGCCTAGTCCCCAACTAATATTATAACTTTGCGTAAACAAAGTTACCAAATTTTCGCTTTTTAAGATCCTCCTAGGCTGATACCTGAGAGCGTAGCTCCCGGATTTCAATGGCGCCGCGGCATAGATTCCTTCGTAAAAAAAATTCATCAGTTCAGAAGCATTTCTGTATATGAAGCAGTCCACTGCAAATATTTAAGCCTATCTTCTACAGTTCGAATTACCACGTTACCAACTACGTAATCCAAAAGGGGCGAAATACCGCATGTGCAGGCCTGAGCGGAATTCGATCCAGGGATCCAAACAACGTCAGCTCACGTTGTGAACGAAAATTTTGAACCTAGCAGATTTTATGTAGCTCCACCTACATCACCTGTATCACCTGTCGCCTGTTCATCATCGATTTCTAAGAGCTAGTAATGTCTCCATTGCTTCCTCTCACTAGTCAGTGTAGTCCAATGTATCGTCCTCGCTCGAGTAACACGAAGCATAGCGTTTCTTTCGTGAAGAAATTTGACCATCGCGCTGGCAACTGTCCTGACATTCGTTTGACATTCCGACGCATCCTGGCAGAAATAGCCCTGGTACAACGGTCATCACAAGATCCGGCTCACCTAATCTTCGATTCTTCGGAGTTTAGTAACGGCAACCCTAATCTCCGTTCGTTTACGGAGCTCGGAACTACAGCTTCCATTCCCCGCTCCACAGTTGTTCAAGTGAGGTTCTTTGACTGCTTCGCTAGTTCCTCAAAGTTTCTCAATGCTCCTCACGCCCTTCTTTCCTTCTGCCCAGCTCCGGAGCTGATCCATTCGTCATGTTGACTTCTTTATCAAGATACACTCAGAATCACTCAGCTGGATCACTCAGAAATATACGTTCCGTTTAATGAAAGGGCAGTAAGTACCATTCCTCATAAACATCGTCTTCGTTTGATTAAAGGCACAGTTCACGATAATTTGAGGTACCCGTTTTTATTCGAAAACCGGAAGTATAGATCGAGAGTTGTTCATTTGTAGTGAAGAAAGCGAGAGAATTCGCCGATTTCGAGAAAACTACGGCTCCTTTTCATTTTCTCGCTTTCTTCACTACCGATGAACTATTCCCAACTTATACTTCCGCTTTATGAATAAAAGGGGGTACCTCAAAATCATCGTGCCTTCAAATCTACAATCTCGCATCAAAAATCAAGTAGTCATTGAAGGTCTTCCCTAGTCACCTCCCAGATTACTTCCCTGTCACTCGAATACAAGCTTTTGTGTCAAGGGTACCTACCTGCACGCTTTCTAAACACGTATGCACGGATAAACCTAGGAGATAGGATATATATCGGACACAGGACAGCGAAAACAGGAAATCCATCCTCTAAATCCACCCGCGTCTCTGATCAGGTGGCGGTGACTTTTTGTCTGCGATTCACTCCCTTATCATTGGACCCCGATCAACCGTCGCCTGTCACTCTGTTGAGATCCTTCAGTGAGGGAGAACTTCAGTGAAGTTCTCCCTCACTGAAGGATCATTGGGAGTTTTGCCTTTTCAGCCGCGATTCTTTAGCTGGATTAATAGATTGATGTCTCATTGGTCAGTGGTATTACTCAAAAAAACCGATCGCCTCATGCATTACCAAATCGAATTGCATCCTCTAATAGGAAATTCCATAAAGAAACACTTTGATTCATATGACGCCGTCACTTTGCGCAACGAAATGAAATTACCGGACGTCGCTCTCACCTAGGTTAACCTCAGACGGTCGTTTTCTCGATATTGATGCCCACTAGATTTTCTTGTCATTCATGCCCAGTTCTGATTTCTTATTGATTTCATGCACATTTTCCGCATTTGTAAGCATCCTTCTTTGATATTATTTACCTTTCACAACTAATCTTTTTCGTTACTCACTTCGAAAGCCGACTTACCAATGTGGCCAGCAGTTTTCTACTGAGAAAATTTCTTTCAGATGGCTTACCAAATACACACGTCCACACCCTGCCGTCCTGGTATTCCGAGTGCATCCGAATACATTTTTGTGAGTTTTACCATGGAATTAGGGCGTCTTTGAAGTTTTTGAGATTTAAAGATAAAAAGGATAAAGTCTTGGGGTGTTGATCAATCCCTTCTGAGGGATACGCCCACGCATTCGACTTCTATTCAGAATCGTAGTGGCGTAATGAGTGCGTATGTGACCTATACAACGACTTGCGCTCGCCAGCCGATGTACAAGTCAGAGTTTTTATCCTGCCAGACGAGTCTGTTCCAATGAAGCGACTCCGGAGGGTTGGAAGGCTTGGTTAGTTTAGTCAAAATCGATCCGGGATTTGAACCCGTGACCATGCGTGTGTAAAGTGCGCCACTTGCCACTACACCACTTCCGCTCTTTGAGATTATAGGGCGAAAAACACGCTGAGACCTCCTCCGAAAATGACTTCAATAGGAATTGTGGATGAATACTTGTGTCTAATATACTGCTTACCAAGCTACTCTTATCGGATGCCTCTGCGCCGCAGCTCTGGATTAGGAAATTATCTCACATTTTTAGGTATTAAAAAGTTTTTTGCGGTCGACACCCAGTTTTTCCGATTGTCTGGCGCAAACTGCGAAATTTTATGTAAACCATTCCGATTACTTTTGGTACGAAAGTCTTAACATTTCAGCCTATTTCGCCGTCGTGTCGAAACGCTTTGATTCCTCATTCGATTCTGAAGAAGCCAGGACATTCGTTAGGCAGCACTGAAATGATTTCGAGCCAGACTTCGGACTCATCCACTGCCAGCACCAGTAAAAATAGTCAGAACAGCGATAGAGTCAAGGTATTCTTGAGAAACTCGCAAGAGATGACTTGCTCTCAACAACTCCTTTTTCAGCTGAAAATTGCCCTGCGCCTGCTCACTACCATGGCAGTAGCTACCGGTGTCCTGTGTGTGATGAGTTTACAGTTCTTCCTGCAAGTCAACTGGAGCGTCCTCATCGCGAAATACGTTACTCTCAAGCAGTTCTATGTTTGTGAATTTCATGTTTTTCTTATGCTTGACTGAATCACTTTTTGTTTATGGTGCTTTTGGTTTCAAATTAAAGGTGGTCCTGATACAAATCTTCGCATTTTCACAGTGGCAACATAGTTCCGGGGGTTCATTTCCCCGAAAATCGCGCGCATTGTCGTGCTGGAAGGGAAGGGTTCGAATTCCCAGTGGAATGATACGGTAGTCGTCGTGGAACTGCTGCTGGCCGTGGGAATTCGGAGTACATTCACCCCGTAGTTTGATGTCATGATTTACAACCACTCGACCGTTTGAAGCAAAGGACCAGACCAAGGTCATTGAAAACCTCTTAAAAACCAGGTATACCTACCTACCTAGGTGTACTTGCCTACCGGAATCATACCTATCTATTCATGGAAGCCAATATTACCGCCTAGCCACAGCTTTAACATTTTGTTTGGATTGGAGCTTCCGAAACTATTATATCTCACCGTGCGCTATTTCCTGACGTGCTTCGATTTGGGCAGTGTCAGGGAAGGTATGCTCTTCTATAGTGTCTAATATGGACGTAGGGAAGAACGACTTATAAGACAATATTATTCAGAGACCTATTGCTTTATACGTTTTGTAGATAATTCCTAAAACAGTATCTATTTCATAAGGTTTGAATAATTCGTTTCAGTACTTGGCCAGCGAAATTGGTGAAACCCTGGATGTTGCCGTGCTTATCTGTTCGACAACCGCCTTCTTCATCTCGCTCTTGCAGATCTTCTTCGTGCTGAAACTCTACAAATCGCACAATGCAGCTACGTCAGTTCCCTACACTCTCACTCCTACTTTGCAGCTCTTTGCACTTCGATAAATTTATGTATTTGAAACAAGAAGAAGTTGAAAATCCAGATCACCGAAATTTGAATCATAATATTTATTGAAGTGAGACTGAAGTCAGTAGTAACAGGCCGTGTTGAGGGAACAGGTTGCATGCACAGTTGACGATAATTTTCAGCTACCTTTTTTAGGTTGAAAAGGGGAAGTGTTGGCGGAGAATAGTGCATCGGTGACAAAAAAAAAACGGGGGAATCGTCGACTTCACGTAAGGCTGGGCTTTAAAGCAGTGGGGTGAGGGTTGTGCGAGACCACCATATAACGGAAATGGCACATAGGGGTAGTTGAACAAATTTTCAATAGTTGCAATTGCGTAAAGAGCTGACTAAATTGAGCCAAAACTTTCCAGAACTGCCTTTCACTGTCGTTGTCGGTCATGACAAGTGCATGAACTTCCTACATTGGTCTCTTTTTGAATCGTGCAATCTCTATAAGTCGTTGAAATTCGTCCACTATGGGTGTGGCATTCAGCCGATACCATCTCTGAGTCCTTATAACCCCCTATCTATGCCACTTACCCATCTGACAACACCACATATGGTATACAGAGACGCCACAGTTTTATTAGAGAGAGATTTCTCAGAAGGATTTTTATTGTGGACTGTGCCTTCCAATGAGGAGGCTACACCCCCTTAATCGAGCTACCCTTGATGCCGTGCCTATCGGGGAGAATTTGATTCAATTGGCTGATGCATATCCCTAGTTGAGCCTTTACTAATTCATTCCCTTTGTTACTGATATGAGACCATATGAGTCGACTATTCTTGGTAACCGATGACTTTTCAGCATGCCCCCTCATTTCTTCGAGCTTGCACGGATACTTATTTGCTCAATCGTACGATTTTTTCAGTCCCCTCGAGTATCTGGATCGTACGAGTTTCATGCGTCTGGTCATCTATTCATTTTGGTTTCTCTCTGTGGTGTTCATGATAGCAGGTGAGCTGTTAATAATAATCTTTTGATTTTAATTGGTTTTATGTCGGATAAAAAATGAGAGAAGTCCATAACAAAAAATCTTCTTTGGTTTCTCCTATTCTTTAGTTCTGGGAGAACAGGAGTGTCAAAAGAAGGGGTGAACCAAATCAAAATGCCTTAGACATTTTCATCAGGTTGGTATTTGTCGAGCTAATGGGACCCCTGAGAAATTGGAAGAAGAATTTCCGCGCCATAGAGTAAGGTAGTTCAAAGTGCAATCGGGGGTGGGCATGGCGTTGAGAAAAATAGCTCAGGGGTCAGGGGCTCAACCACAAAAGGTTTTGAAAGCCGTTATGTTATCATCCCATAGGAACCCTGTCCCCTTTCCCATATCACTGATGCTCTGTCCTCGAATGATCGAATGCATTCTCCTCTGTGGAGCGTGGGACATAAACGGTTGAATGTTTCAGCAATTCTGCTGTTGTGTGTGCTGAATCCAGCCCGAGGAACGATATCGAAAGGAGTGGGACTCTCGCTTGGCGTATCGGCAATGCTGTGCTGCGGGGTGACTACGCTGAAGACGATCCTTTTTTGGACGCAATCCACATCGTCACCTACTACCAACAATAACTACAAAAACTTCTCAACTCTCGTCTAAAGCAACAACATGTCCCTGCGGTACCCTCGTCGGTGCCATGAGGCGGGAGCTCAACAATACGGACAGGTGTGCCTTACCTCGCTAGTCATCGATCTCATTTCTCCATTTTCACAGTTGTAGGCAGTGTTTATGTGAGAAACTTATTTGCGTAGCATTTATTCGGATGGTTTTTAAATGCTGTTGAAATATTGCCATAGAACACCATACGCTCTGTAACATTCGAACTTAATTTATTNTATCCCGCCAAAATGAATTTTAGGACCTTCTTATGCCGTACGTGGCGCTGTAATATCTGGAAACGGCTTAGATAGGACGTTATAGAGGCTCAAAGATTGTATCGTGTGTGTACTTGGACGAGTTTCACCGGCATTGTAGAGGCTGCACCAATCGCAAGGAAGCCAATTTTTAAGTTCGAACTACTTGTCATGACCCATAGCGACAGTGAGAGGCTGTTCTGTAAGTTCTGGCTTGATGTAGTCAGCTCTTTATGCAATTGCAATAACCGAAATCGAAATCTTGTCTCTACATACCTTCCATGTTATTTCTGTCATGGTAATCTCGTCTAACCTCTATAATCCGTCTAACCTTTAAGGAGCCTAATTTTTATCGAAATCGGAGAATTTTCTCGCTTTCCTCACTACCAATGAACTATTCCCAACGTATACTTCCGCTTTTCGACTAAAAAGGGGTACTTCAAAAGTATCTTAAACTGTGCCTTTGAACTTTTTAGTAGTAAGCTGCATCTATAACATGTTTTAATACTTTGGTAATTCCACTTGGCAATTCACAAACATTGCACAGAGTTTATTTGTTCAACGTAATGTCGTTTCCATTGCATTATTTTCCATTCAGATTTCAAAGGATCAAGAATAAATGAATTGCATGCTATTCTTTTCCATCCTTTGTTGACTCCGGCTCGTTTCAAAATATCGATCAAGGATTTTTTCAAACACTGCAGTAGCCACGAAGCTTCTCGTGATGGGCCTCATGGTGTTCGAGAAGGCTCTAAGCCCCATAGGCAGTTGACGTTATCATAACTATGTGAAGGATGTGAGTACAATGTTAGTGCTGCTGCGCCGTGTCGCAGAAATTTAAGAGCCCAGGGCAGGAAATTTAAGGGCATAGTGGGAGCCCCGTTACCGGATCGCCCAGACTTCTCGCCCCTCGATCGATGTCACGTCAGGAGAGTGTCGAGGCGATACGGGTTGCAAAATTCGCTCTAGGATCCATACACAATTAGCTGATCGTCGAGTAATGAGGCGATGTTTTTCTACTATTCAAAGAACACATTCGAATGCTTGCGGCACGTTTTCAATAGGTGATTACGGCATTAACAGTTTGGTGCTGTGGGATCACTGTAAAAGAAGGTGCTTATGCACGAACATGAGAATTTGGGCCCATTTTCTGCAGTGCGTTCCGTAGTGGGACAAAAGGTGTACAGTATTCTCAATTATCAAAAAGAAGATAAATGGATGCCGGGACTTATCCCACAGATAGTGTACAGGCGAGTTAAAAGAGTCCACTCTGGAACAAGGGGACGAAAGGCCCACGAAGATCATTCAAAAGGGAAGATAATGCAAGGGAAAAAGAGGGCTATGTATTGATGGCTGGTAGAATTGAAACACCTCAACTCAAACGCAGGTCTTACGGCAAAGACGGTTTGGTCGAACATGTGAACATACGGATTGAACGAGATCACTCAGGAGAAAGGGAGAAACCTGCGAGAACGAAGGACGGCATAGACGTGGTGGTTGTGGTAAGCCACGTGGATGGCAGGAAGAGTAGGAAAAGTGGAAAAGTGTAGATCCGTGACAATTGTGGGATACGTGCCAGCAACCACACCGCCGTAGTCGACCAAAGTCAATCCCGATTCGAGGGAATACATCGTGGAGCATATACGACGAAGTCGCAAGGATATGAAGACGATTTCCTCATCAAGTCAGAAGGTCAGCAAGCTTTCTCATTGCGTATATGCATTCATCAACGCATTTAAGTAGAGGGAAAAATTCAGCCAATAAGATCAACTTGTACCATTGGTAGATTCAAGTGGACTTCTCAGATGCAGAGGGCATCTGTTCATCTCTGATTCAACCGGAAATAGCAAGCACGTTACCTCATCAGGCCACGAACACCGCTTGCAACCATTTTCATTTGACAAGTCTGCAGTCGTTTCCATCTTGGAACAGCTCATACTGTTGCGGAGACACTGAGTCAGTGCTGAGTTCTGCAGCTCCCACGATAAGTCCAAAAGGTTTCGCCCAATATCAACGAATGAACAACTCATCTTATAAATACCCAGTGTATCGAACAAAAACTCAACCTTCCTTGATTACATCGATCAGTTCTGATATAGTAACATAGTGTTTATAGTGTTGTACTACAAAACATGTTGCCTACATAAACTCTAGGTGGCGCATTCTCTTCACTTTTTCGCCACCAACCTTCTCCGTGCTCTTCATTCGTCCGTCCAGTGACCAATCACAAGACTCTGTCCGTATTCCTACGAATAAATCGTATCAGTACCATCACCAAGCACGTCGATCTACTGGTGAGACCAGTCAACAGAAGCTAACAATTTCTGTTGTCGCGAAGTACCCGAAACGAACAAACAAGCGACGCAGCGCACTTCTTACCACTATGAGATAGGACGTGTGAAAATGAGGAATGAAGAAGGATCAGAGAGATAGAAATAATGGAGAATGAAAGAGTTCACAAGTGTCTGTTCTATGAATAAATCCTTACTCTCTCAGTGTGTTCGCCTAACACCTCAACTGGTGATCCGGATGAGTTTCGAACTCACGCGGATAAACCCCATTGGATCAACAAGTCCAGCCAGCGACCTTGCTGGTGATCCTGCTCTCTGTACCTCAGCCGACAGCAGCGATGTCGGCACCGCACATGTAAGGGTGGTCGGCAATGGTCTATCACTATGTGGTGCCGCAACCGGCGCCCCCGCGGCGAAGAGCAATGCGGCGACGTCCGCTGCGGAACAGGACACATCCACAAGCTGACGCATTACCTGCACAACCACTAAAGCAGAACCAGCGACGCGGAAGCAGGAGTCGTAGCAGAAGCCCGTAAAGACGCGACGAAGCAGCCTTTCGAGGTGAAGGCCACCATTGCGAGGAGAGCAGAAGCAGAAGCGACAGCCGCTCTCACGAAGAGCGAAGTATAATAGTAAGGAGTGCGATGGTGCACTCACACAACGTGGCGGTGTGGAATCTTGATCGGTCAATAAATAACTGAGATAGGGAGATGGGAATGACAGACAATGAGAGAGTACATAAGTATTTTGTTCTATGACTCGTTCGTTCCACTCTCGGTGTGTTCGCCCGGGAACGAAATTCAAAATTAGGCGCCGATGGTCTCTATGCACATGTTTGTCCTTTACGCTCCGTAGCAGGATTTGGGTGAATGTTTTAGGGTCAAGTGCATATGAGGTTTATTTCGGCGTGGGAGTAAGGATAGTCTATGCCGACCATATGAATGCTAGGGTGATTCAACACACAACGAAGGGAAAGACCCCGGCAGAATCGTTAATGGGACGATCGTTGAGATCTACTTTAGACGTGCTTAAGACACCAAAGAATCCCGAGGTGACTCCCTATAGGCAGAGCATGAAAGAACAATACGATAAAAAAGTAAGAGTTAGACAGTTTGAGGTAGGCCAGCAGGTATATCTGTACAATTATTAAAGTTGGCACGAGAAATGGGTCCCAGAAGTAATACTGGAAACTGTAGGCTCGAGCACATATCGGGTACATTAAGGAACGGGTTGTAGGTTGGCCATGCAGACCAATTGAAGAAAAGAGTCATTTTCTGGGAAGATGACTGCTCACAAGAGAGCATGCATAGCATGCACCTTGTCTTCGGAAAATAGTATTTTCTGACAGCGTTTTTCAAAAGATAGCCCTTCGAAATGTTCCTCTGCTTCGTAAGTCTGCTGAGTACAGCAGTGTCTTTATACGGCCATCCCTTGCGCGAAGAAATTCCAGGATCGCTTTTGCCTTCCGCGAACAACGTAGGCATCTTATAAAAACAACTGGAGGCAGCTATCCACCCTGAACGGCTGTGGTTGTTCGACTTTCTGCTTTTAATCTACTTACTCGTATTCGGGTTGATTGTTTATCGTCTATACTGCTATACTAGAAGTATCTCATAGCTGAAGGAACATACAATCGAGATTCCCTATGGCGGAGATCGGATCTCCTTATTTCACTGCCACTAGTACAGTTGTATTGTTTTGATTTCCTTCTGTTTGCTTGGTTATTCAAACTGTAACTGGATCATCATTCATTAATGGAAACGCCACGACCTCTTCCAGGCACAACGGCTAAGCGAAAATATGTGGAGTCCCATTCTTCTGATAAGGATGATCAATGTTTGAAATTAATCAACTTGGATAAGAAGCTTTCTGACTATGTTAAAGTTGTTCTGGCTGTGCTCACGGACACTAGGGATCAATTGTTGGCTGTCAATGCATGGTCTGTTAAATTATCGGATGAGAACGAAAAACTCAAGAAGGAAGGTCACATAATCCCATATGTGCTGTTTCGAGAATCAAAGTCATTGGAATTGTTTTTGATCAATGCCTCTCCTTTGGATACCATATCTCCAAAGTTAATAATGCTGCTCGAGATTCGAGACAACAAATCTTATCTCTATGGTTCAATGACGAAATTAAGAATGAAGCGCATTAATCGTCGATAATCTCATTCGGCGAGCTAGACTTCATACACAGCTCATAGTTTTCGCATCGGCATGTTATGTGGTAATGAGGCTTCTGATTGAGCAACTTAGCTTATGGACACCGTCTCGCCACTAAACGATCGCTAAGATGCGATTCTCTACAACTAACTGTCGTGGTCGGATCTTCTGAGTGTTAAATGTTCTTGCTCACTCTGGATGTTGGAGCCAGTGATGGCACGCTTCCTAAAGTGGAATTTGACGCTGTGTATGAAACTATGTGTTGTGTTTAAGTTCAGTTTTTCTATTCATTTTTTTGTGACAGCCTTGCGATGTATTACCAAATATATAAATAAATAAGAAGATCCGGATCCGTGCTCAACTTTTCGTTCCTGCAGTTCTCCCTACTTTGACTCGCTCGTAGAGGGTTGGACGTTGTACAAGCAAGATGAGCGCGCAGTCAGCGTCAGTGAACGAGCTGGAAAGGACTGTGCTCGTAGTTACCGTTATGCAAGTGCAGAGAGCAATCTGCTCCAAGAGTGAACGAAAAACAGGACGTTGTCGTTTTCGCTAAAGAGTGGAATATTATGTGATGTGATTCCTCTGTGACTTTTGAACAAGGGCGATTATTGACAGGATCCTTCGAGAAGTAAACGCTCCTCTGAGTGGGATGACAAAATATATGTAGGACATTCGGTTCCACAGAAAGGAGAGGAATCGCGGTAACGAATTTCCAAACAATTTCACCTCAGCAGAAGATTATATTAATGGTCGGTAATAGGCTACGAAGGCTCTAGATTCTTCAGATATGAGGTATTATCGGCCATTCATAGTCGGTAGAGGTCTTCAGTGTGACAATAACGGTTTCGCTATTGTTGGTATACACCACAGTTTCCAAATTTTAATATTAATAATATCACAAAAAAAGGGTCCTCAAGTTAAATTGAAGTTCCAAGTGAGATAGAACCTACGATAACAGAATAATATTGTGAAATGATTACAGCGTCCACAGTTCCTGCAGTTGGCTGTTGAGAAAGTTAACAACTCGTTAACAACAAGTTAACAACTTAGCATTGAGTTGGAGTTATAACGAAAAGTTTCAATGTAAGACCAGTACATTATGGGCAAGCGATCTAGTACCATTCCACTTCATTCCATTGATATAGAGATTGTGAAAACCAGTGCTAGCCGCTGTCCCATCACAAGCATATGTTGCACTTCAGACACTGCCCAATGAGTACCATGATTTGTGCTGTACTCAATCCATAGATTAAAACACTCCTTGAAATTGTTTGCAAAGCTTCGGTGTTGCCAGCGTTGGTATAGAGCACAAGCACGTCAAATGACGGTGCAACGCAGTTTTATTGAAAGCTGCAAGAACGTGATCGATCCAGTATTGTCCCGTACTCTTCGCATTGTGCCCTTTCCCTCCGATGAAGGGTTCGTAGGCCTTTAATGAAAAAGAAGCACGAAAATTCTGTCGACGAGCATCTGATCTGAGTTATTCTCAGGAAATTAGAGAGCCACAAGATGGGATAAGGGAGAAAATAAGGTTGTGCAAAGGATTGCTAAATAGGGAAAGGACCTATTAAGACGCTAACAAAATTCGAGAAGATTTTGCCGCCTACGAATCTACCAAAAAGTAAGCCAAGGTGGAAATAGACGAACGAAAAGTTTGGGAGTAAAGAGGCTGACAGCCCTACCTTACTTCTCCTCAAAATTCATATTTAAAGGCACGGTTCACGATACAAAAGGTTACTGAGTTTTTCCTTTAGGAACACTCAGCGCCTCTCATGGGTGGTAGAAGGGACCCTCTCGCTCCCACAATCTCGGCGCTTAGGGCATAGTGGAAGCCTCGTTGCTGCCGTAGTTCGCTTTCCCGCCCCTCGATCGGTGTCACGTTAGACGAGTGTCGAGACAATACAGATTGCTATTATTCGTTCTAGGACCCACGCACAATCAGCTAATCGCCGAGTGATGAGGCGATGTTTTCTCTCATTCTTTTTTCCTCTGCTATTCTTCTTGCTGCCTTATCCCTTATCCCCTACTTAATTTCCTACTCCTAGAGGCTGAAAAAGGTGAGCTACTTTTGCTGTTACTAGGGGTTTTTTGTTTATTTATGCTTCTAAGTGAATGA